CAGGACCAGATGGCTTCACCAGTCAATTCTATCAAACATTCAAAGAGGATTTAATACCAATTCTCAAACTCTCCTAAAAAATTGAAGAAGAGGCAACACCTCCTAACTCATTTTATAAGGCCAATATTACACTGAGACAAAAACCTGGTAAAGATAACAGGAAAAAAAGAAAACTACAGGCCAATATCTCTCAGGAACACGGATTTAAAATCCTAAATAAGATACTAGTGAACCGAATACAATGACACATTAAAAAATTATATACCATGTCAAGAAGTTTTCATCCCAAGGGCACAGGGAAGGTTTAACATATGCAAATTGATTAGTGTGATACACCACATACACAAAATAAAAAAAACAAAAATCATATGATTAATATCAATAGACACAGAAAAAGATTTTTAGAAAATATGGCATCCATTTATGATTAAAACACTTAATAAAAGGGGAATAGAAGGAAAGTACCTCAAAATAATAAAGGCCATATATGACAAACCCTCAGCTAATATTATATTTAACAGTGAAAAACTGAAAACCTTTCCTCTAAGATCAGAAATAAGACAAGGTTGTCCACTATCACCACTGTTATTCAATATAACACTGGTCGTCTTAGCAAGTGCAATCAGGCAAAAGAAAGAAATAAAAGGCAGCCAAATAGGAAATGAAGAAGTCAAACTCACTATTTGCAGATGACATGATTCTCTACATAGAAAACCCTAAAGACTGCACCAACATGCTACTAGAAATAATAAACAAATACAGTAAAGTTTCAGGATACAAAATCAATGTTCAAAAATCCCTATCATTCCTATACTCTGATAATGAATTGTCAGAAAAAGAAAAAAAATCCTTTTTGCAATTGCAGTAAAAAAAATTCTTAGGAATAAACCTATCAAAACATGTGAAGGACCTATACACTGAAAACTATACGATATTATTAAAAGAAATCGAAGAAGACATAAAGAAATTAAAAGATATTCTGTGTCCTTGGATTGGAAGAATCAACATAGTTAAAATGACCTTAAAAAACAAACAAACAAACAAACAAACAAACAAACAAAATGACCTTATTGCCAAAAATATTACACAGATTTAATGCAACCCCCATCAAAATCCCAATGACATTCTAAAAAACAAGAACAAAAATTCATTAGATTTGTAAGGAAGTAGAGAAGACCCCGAATAGCCAAAGCAATGCTGAGAAAAAAGAACAAGATCAGAGGTAATCCTCGGAGTGACTTCGAATTATACTACAAAGTGATGATAATCAAGTGGCATGATATGGGCAGAAAAATAGACACACAGACCAGTGGAATTGAGAGTCCAGAAGTAAACCCATGTTTACATAGGGAAATAATTTTTGTCAAAAGAGCCAAAAACATATAGTGGAGAAAGGAAATCTCTTCAATAAATGGTCCTGAGAAAACTGGAAAGCCACCTGCAAAAGAATGAAAATAGGCTGCTGTCTATCGCCACACACCAAAAGTAATTCAAAATGGATTAAGGACCTGAATATAAGACTTGAAACAATAAAAAGCATAGAAGAAAATATAGGAACTAAAGTCAAGGATTTTATGAATTTGATCTCAAAGGCAAGGGAAGTAAAAGCAAAAATAAATGAATGGGACTACATCAAACTAAAAAGCTTCTGCACAGCAAAAGAAACCATCAACAAGGCAAAGAGACAATCATGTGAATGGGAGAGTATATTTGCAAACAACACTTCTGATAAGGGCCTAATATCCAAAGTATACAAAGAACTCATACAATTCAATAACAAAAAAGCAATCAATCCAATTAAAAATGGGCAGAGGACCTGAACAGACACTTCTCCTACAAAGATGTACGAATGGCCCGTAAACATATGAAAAGATGCTCTGCTTCACTAGGTATTAGGGACATGCAAATCAAACCACAATGAGATATCATCTCTCACCTGTTAGAATGGCTATTAACAGCAGGCAAGTAATAACAAGTGTTGGAGAGGAGATGGGGGAAAAAGAACCCTCATACGTTGCTGGTGGGAATGCAAATTGGTGCTACCATTATGGAAAAAATCATGGAGTTTCCTCAAAAACCTAACAATTTAATTACTATATGATCTAGCAATTCTTCTTTTGGGTATTTACCCAAAAAAACTTGAAATCATTTATTCACAAAGATATTTGCACCCCGATGTTCATAGCAGCATCATTCACGGTGGCCAGGACATGGAAGCAACCGAAGTATCCTATGATAGATGATTGAATAAAGAAGCTGTGGTACTTATATACAATGGAATATTACTCAGCCATAAGAAGAGATGAAATACTGCCATTTGTGACAACATGGATTAATTTTGAGATTATTGGGCTAAGTGAAATGTGTCAGACAGAAAAAGTTGAAAACCACATGATATCACTCATATGTAGGATATGAAATTGAAAGAAACAAACAGGGACTCATGGACATGGATATTGACTTAGTGGTTACTGGGTGGGGGTGGATAGATAGGGGTAAAACGTTCAAATATTTGGTGACAGAGGAAATTTAACTTTGGATGGTGAACACATCACGTAATATGCATATGATGTATTATTAAATTGATATACACACATATATATATATATATGGTTTACTGTTGAATGATACACTTGAAATTATTTGATTTTGTTAATCAATGTTACCCCAATAATTTTTAATAAAAAAATGAAGATTCACCAAACTATTTCAGAAAGAAAACACACACACGCTCACATTCACTGAATGTCCTCTTTCTCTTGTAAGCTTTGGGAATAAAGCTACATTTGTGACTTATCCCCCACAATTGACATTATTTACTTGGTAGTAACCTTGATCAACATGGGAATATAAATAGTAGAGACCTAGAAATACAGGTTCATTCAATTGTACCATCTTATGAATAAAGGCTACAGATCAATTTTCTCTAAATTATATCTGCTGTCATTCATTCATTAAATTCTTACAACTAACTCTACAATCTACTCTCTTGTCTTGTGGTTATGGGCTCTCTGTCAAATTATCATTAATAGAATAACCTAGTTAGATTACGAGGCAGCACATTACAGTTGGTCAGAGTTCAAGAGAGTTGGACTCTTCTTAAATTTTATGATCTTAGAAAATTAAAATAAAAAGCGTTTGTAGCTTGCTCATCTATAAAATTGACCAATTAGTTCTTGCTCAATCTTAATGTTAATGATCAAATCCAGAAATGCATTTAAGGTGATTCATACTATCAAATGTGAATATTAATACTTTGCATCAAACTGATATATGTGAAATACATGTCTCATGTACTGAAAACACTAAACCAGAAAAAGAATCAGACAACACAAAGACAATTTGGCATATTTTTCAATTATGACAACAGTGGTAATGTCAAATAGAACTCCTAAAATCTCAGTGTAGCCAATTTGTAAAGCCTAGAAGAAAGTTTAGAGCCTGGCAAAGAGCAAGTGCCAAAATGCCAAAAGTCCCTTTTTCCCGGAAGCTTTAATGTAGCCCATAATAGCAAAGAGTGACAGCAATCCTGTCAGTAACCAACAGCATGAGAAGAGCTGCACAGTGCTTGTCTAGGCATGATGGAACCCATGCTTTTCTAAATGTGATGATTGTTCCAAGATTAAATATTTGACTTAAGATTTAATCTCTAATACATAGGAGAACACAGCAAGGAAGAATGAATTGAGGGAAGCACTAATAAAAGATGTTATTAAATAATTAGGTGCATTTTCCATGTGGTGAAGTACTTTGAGGGGTCTGATTTTTCCAATAGCATTATTTTGGCCTGTTCCCCAGTGGATAATGGTGTGATTAAATAATGTATTAAAAAAAAATAAGGAAAGCTTCAAATGGGCAATACGCTAATCATACCTGGTAAAATTCAAAATTTCATATCTCTTCTATGCAGAGAGTCATTAAGTATTTTCCAAATGATAAAATATATTTAAAAACTAGAAAGGAAAAGATATAAGGATACTCTATATAAAAAAGGTGAAAAAAGATTGGGGCTAGTAGTTACTATGACTTGTCATAGAACTGCTGTTGCTAGATATAATAACTATTTCAGTTATTACTAACACAATTCATTTCAACAGTGGGATTAAGAGCTCCAGTTATATATTATAACTTCCATCTATGAATCTCATAGTATCCAACAAACATTAACTATCACAGATCATGAGAAGTCAGTGATTTTTGCCAGTTGGGAAAGAGAGTTATGAACTTGCCTACAGAGGCAGAGAACCATGAGAAAGGGGCAGACTGCATATATTTACAGAAGGAGAGGATTTTAATTTCCCTCCATTCTTTTCTCCCTTAATAATTTCAGAAGGGGCAGGAAAAAGGAAACAAGAAAAGCAGAGAAGGGTTTTCTACCTTTTATGCTCCAGAGGGAAGAACTGAACACATACAATAACACAGCATGAAGCAATTAAATGACTAGGCAATTCACAAAGATGCACTGAGCACATATACCCATATCTGTATTAATAATTGATATAAAGAATAGTAGAAACCGCTATCCTTGTTCTTCAAGGAGTCCATAGTCTCTTAAAATGCACTAGTTCATCCTGTTAATTTTGTAAGGTATTTCGATAACACTATGGTTACAAAAGAAAATGTCCTTATTATTTTAGACAGGCATGCTGGAATATTTATGGATGAAACATCATGTATTTGTGTTTACCTTAAAATAAATCTGGAAAAATAAAGAAATAGCAAATGTGGCAAAAAGTTCATGATTGTATAATCTAGGTACTTGACATATGGGTATTCTTTAGTCAGTTCTCTTATTTTCTCTTCATGCCTTCAAACTTTTATAATAAAAGATTTTTTTTACCAATTCAGATTAATACGAGAAAGTCAATTTAAATTATAAAAATGTCAAATGACAACTTTTAAAAGATCTTTTTCTACTTTGATTCTTCATAATAGCTGAGGCTAAGCTAGTTTTGCCTCATTATCAATTGTTTGGCTGATTAATCTATGCGGGATTTAGACCCTGCTACAAAGGTGTGTCTGTGTTTTCCCATTTTTGGACATGTAAGAATTGGAGGCAAAGAAATATAGACTTGGAGAATTCTGGGGACAGCTTGCTTCTTGCAGGCTCAAGATCAACCATCCCACAAAGGAATATTAAATTAAATTAAATTAAATTAAAATTAGGTTAAATTAAGTTAAATTAATACTGAAATATAAAGACTACTTCAAACAGATATAAATTAAAATTTTTTTTCTATGTTTTGTCTAAAGTTCCTATAAGATTCCCACAGATGAAAAAGAGAACTTG